ACGGTCAAACTATGGTCAAACTTATTCAAGAAAAATTAGTGTTACTAAATAATTACTGTTTTTTAGAATAATAGTTTCAAACTCAAACGGTGAAACGTGTAACCTAATGCTCAAGCTAAACTGCTGAGGGTTAATAGGATTGACAGCTTACATTTGTGAGGAAAATAACAAGTGCAGACTTGGAAAGTAGGAGGAATAGAACTCCAAAGTTAAGCGTGCTCAGGCTGAGGGAGTGAGAGGATGGGTGACCGGCCGGGAATTTAGATGATTTGGAATGAGTGATCCACACATGAGCAGTTAAGAGGGGTGATTAGAGACTAAATCATCAAATAATTCAGAAAATAAAAAAATAAAAAAAAATTCCCAAAAATTTCAAAAAAAACCTTTAGTACCGCTTGGTAACACCAACCGGTACTAAAGGTCCCTCATACCACGGCGGGAGCACACGCCATGTGGTGGGCCTTTAGTGGCGGTTCGTGCCGAACTGGTACTATGGGGGGCTTTAGTCTCCACCCTTTAGTGTCGGTTGCAGAACCGGCACTAAAGGCCCTTACGAACCGGTAATAAAGCTCAGTTTTCTACTAGTGTGCGCCCAGGGGGGTAGGCACGCCCCCTACCTCGTGGACTCCTTGTTCGTTTCTTGACGTCCACTCCAAGTCCTCTGGATCCCGTTTGTTCCAATAATCACGTTCCGAAGGTTTCATTCCGTTTGGATTCCGTTTGATATTCCTTTTCTGCCGAACACTAAAATAGGCAAAAAAAACAACAATTTGCACTAGGCCTTGGGTTAATAGGTTAGTCCTAAAAATAATATAAAAGTGTAAAATAAAGCCCATTAACATCCAAAATAGATAATATAATAGCATGGAACAATCAAAAATTATAGATACATTGGAGACGTATCAGCACGCCGGGAGGTCTTGCTGGAGTTGTTTTACCATTGTCGAAATGTCTTGTGCACCGGGATTCCGAGTCCGATCGGAGGGTCCAGAGATGGAGGATTATCTCCGCGGATCGTGAGCTTGTCATGGGCTAAGTTGGGACATCCCTGCAGGGTTTAAACTTTCGAGAGCCGTGCCCGCGATTATGTGGCAGATGAGAATTTGTTAATATCCGGTTGTAGTGAACTTGAAGTAAACTCAACTAAAATACACCAACCGCATGTGTAACCATGACTATTTCTTTTCGGGAAAGTTCGAGAGGAGAACACGGTTGGGTTATGTTTGAACGTAAGTAGTTCAGGATCACTTATTGATCATTACTAGTTTGCGACCGTTCGCGTAGTTTCTCATCTTACTCTTGTATTCGTGAGTTAGCCACCATACTTTGCTTAGCCGCTGTTGCAACCTCACCACTTATCCTTTCCATACCCATTAAGCTTTGCTAGTCTTGATATCCATGGTAATGGGATTGTTGAATCCTCGCGGCTCACAGATTACTACAACAACAATTGGAGGTACAGGTAATGTGATGATCTTGACGTGAGAGCAATGTTTACTTGTTTTGGAGTTCTTCTTCTTTGTCGTCGATCTTGGGTTAGGTTCCTGGTCGGCAGCCTGGGCTAGCAGGGTGGATGTCGTTTGAGTTTCTATTTGTGTTCCATCCCTAGTCGGATGTTGTTCTCGTGTATGATGTTTGATGTATTCATGTGGCATTTGTGTGCCTTTGCATGTATCCCCAACTATTATGTAATGGTATGATGTAAATATGTCCACCTTGCAAAAGCGTGTCAATATGCGGTTCTATCCTTGGTGGGACCTTCGAGTTCCTTTAGGATAGAATCGCATATTGGACGTGACATGTGTTATGTGTTTGCATTGATTCCTTTAGGATATCTAGTTCTGCAATGAACCTGTCAATGAACATTTGAGTAGTTTGTGGGCTTTGGAATATGCCCTCATAAATTTCCTTTCTCCTCAAAGACCAGATAGCCCGTAACATCACAACTATTCGAATGAACTGCATGTGTGAGAGGGAATCCATCGGCGAAAATAGCGAATGCCTTGCATTGGGTTCTGTCATGGCGACTAGCTGCTAGGATAACTCGCCGTCCACTAGGTCCCAAGTACACCTAGCGACTACACACTCTAGTAGCGAATGCCTCCATGAATCCGGCGAGCCACATAAACCGCAAGAGGTAGAGTTCGTCATGTGGTGATGGGCTCTCACGTCTTCCGTCGGGATTGAGTGCTTCGACAAACACCAAAGGAACATTCTGATTTTAGTAGGAACTTGTGTTTTACATAGTGTCTTATAAGCCTTATTCTCATTGGTAGTGCTTGATGACCCAGCGGTGCCCTCTAGCCAGGCCTCCCACCCCTGTTTAGTCGCCACTAGCATTCGATACACAGACCGTACAGAAAATACTCCGCTTCTCTCAAAGTTCCAACCCCATAAATCTTCCATGTTCCTCGTACACAATGGTATCCCCAATATGATTGGTACATCCATTGGCATAACACCTCATGTGCCCGCTGCCTATTCCAAGTTGCGGAAGTAGCAACGATCAAATCGGCAACCAGGGCCGGAGGGTTAGTAACCAAGCATCATAAGGCTTCAACATCTCATCACGCGGCAACCGATTATCCTCTCATATACTTGTTGTATTGCCATTACCAATATTGATCAAACCTTGTTTCAGGATATCTCTGCCTTCTATAATAGCTCTTCAAATTTGGCTAGGATGGCTACCTAGATTTGCATGCAATATGGATGAAGATGGAAAATAGATGCTCTTCAACACATGGGCGCTCAAAGATTCTGGTTGTTGCAAAAGTCTTCATGCTTGTCTTTGCCAACATTGCTAGATTAAATAATTCAAAATCTTTGAATCCCAAATCACCATACCTTTCGGTTGCGTCATAACTTTCCAAGATACCCAATGCGGCTTGTGTTGGCCATCCTTGCTTTCCCACCAGAATTTCCTTATCAACATGTTTATGTGCTCACATAGACCTCTAGGAAATTTAAAACATGACATGGAGTAAACTGGTACTACATGAGCCACTGCTTTGACAAAAACTTCTTTACCCGCTGTTGACATTGTGCGCTCTATCCAGCCTTGGACCTTACTCCATAACCTATCCTTTAGATATTTAAAGGCCCCATTCTTTGAATTCTCAACATCAGATGGCATACCCAAATATCTCTCATTAAAAGTTTCATTAGGGATGTTTAGCAGTACTTTGATCTCACCTCACACTGCTTCTGGGACACCCTTACTGAAGTATATAGAAGACTTGTCATAATTTATCCGCTGACCCGTGACCAACAACTGGGAAACCTCATTAGCACCCACACCATTCGCCTTGAAAAACAGCAGACCGTCATCTGCAAATAATAAATGTTTTTTTAGAAGATCATCCACCGTGTCTGTTTTTTTGGAGAATCTCCACTGTATCTATGTGGGCCGGACTTGCGGTGGTTTCGCGAGTGCTATGGGCCTTGTTTCAGAGGCCCAGGAACCTCGCGCGCAAGGAAAACATATTCGCGACCTCATCAAGCGTATTGGGTCGGGAACACATACTAATATTTGGCAACAAAATTGGCTTCCGAGGGACTACAAGCTTCGACCAATTTGTGCCAGGTCGGCCACTCCACCAACACTTGTTTCTGAGCTAATTGATTCCACTACCAGATCATGGAACATGCAAGTGATAATGGAGCATTTTATTGCTCCTGATGCTGAAGTTATTCTGAACATACCTCTGAGTACACGGGTTCAGGAAGACTTTTGGGCATGGCATTACGATCGGAGGGGAGTTTTCTCGGTGCGTTCGGCTTATCGAATGATTTCAGCAGTTAAAGCACAGAGGGAGGACTGTCTTGATCATCGTCCGGGGCACTCAAACATTGCTGCAGACAAAAGCTCGTGGGCGCAGCTCTGGAAAGTTCGGGTTCCTTCCAAGATCAGGGTTTTTGTATGGAGGCTAGCACACACATCAATTCCTACGGGGCAAGTCCGTCACGAAAGAAACATGGCGGACACACCGGCTTGCTCAATCTGTGGAGCCGTGGAAGATACCTGGCGACACTCACTGCTGAGTTGCCGCATGGCCAGATGCGTTTGGGCATTGGGGGACGAGGAGTTACTGGAGCATGTAATCTCAAACCAAAATGCCGATGCAAGGCTATGGTTGTTCTGGCTGTTTGAATCGACCTCCCAGCAGGACTTAACGAGAGTTCTTGTTATAATGTGGGCTATTTGGTGGGCTCGCAGAAAGTCAATCCACGACAATGAGTTTCAAAGTCCACTGTCAACTCTGTGCTTTATAAGGCGATTTTTGGAGGAGCTGGATATAGCCGAAGCACAGAAACCGCGATCAACACCAGCACCGGCGGCTCCCAGAGCGCGGGTATGGCTTCCACCCAATGGAGAAGCAGCAAAACTAAATTGTGACGGCGCCATTTCAACTATGGGTGACAAGGGAGCGGCGGCCGTGGTGTGTCAAGATAAAAACGGCATGTTTCTTGGCGCTTCAGCTTTAGTTATCGAGGGATTAACTGACCCGGCGAGCTTGGAGGCACATGCGTGCAGCGAGGCCCTTGCCCTTGCTAATGATCTGAACCTGCAGGACCTGCTGATTGCATCAGACTGTCTAGAAGTGATCTCCAACATTGATCAACATGCAATGCCAGTGTACGCGTCGGTTCTGCAGGAGATTCAAGTTACTAGGAACTTTTTCAATTCAGTTAAGTTTCGTTTTGAACGTAGAGTACATAATTTCGAGGCTCACTCGGTTGCAAAAGGAGCTGCGTCTCTGCCGGTGGGCCGCCACGTGTGGCTAGGGATCCTCCCTGATATTGCTTGTATTCCGGAGGTGTTGAACTTTGAATAAAATCCCTAGTTATCTTAAAAAAAAAACATATTCGCGACCTTTTGGGAGGAGGGAGGCGGACCACCCGACCTCACGCGGCGGCGGCGCCGCCGCTCCCGCCACAGTTCGCTCCGAGGGAAGACCCCACTCTACCCCACCGGCGGCGCGGCTGCGAACCTATAAATGGCAGCAGTCGTGAGCTGGTACGGGCCGCTGATCGACCTGTCGGCGGCCGCCGGCCACGTCGGTGGATTCGTACAGCTCCTGGCGTCCGTTCGCCGTGTCCTTCCCCACCAGGTAACGAGCAATCCTATTTCCTTCCACTTAGTAGAATAATTATCTTCTTCATTGAGGAAAAAAAGAGAGTGATACGATGTCGACGCATCTTTGGTCATGTCGTCCGAGGCTTAGAATCCTGCCTCTGCTTTCCCAGGAACAAAATGCCGCGACCGGAAGGACGTATAACAGAGTTATTCTAGAGGTTGGTGACGACACGAGGTCGAGCTTCTCCGTCTCTCTATGGTCCAACAATACAAGCTCGACCATAATCGCTGGCGATGTTTTACTGTTGCAGAGTAAGGAACTGAGGATCCGAGGGGGGTCTCTCTTTTAACCTCAATTTTACCTGTGTAATGCTTTCAGTTGCAATCTACTCTGTAACAACATATGGTGAGACGTTCTCGTTCTTTTGCTTCAGATATTAAGATAGTAGAGTTTAGAAATGGCTTGGAGGGAAGAGCTTCTCAGATGTCTGCAGTCCAAATTTTGATGAACTCTAAAGATTTAGTGCAACCTGAAGGTATGCGTTTGCATTTGTTTTATTCACTGGTGCTCTTTGGTCTTTACTGGCACTGCCCTGGTTGTATTACTTCAAAATGCGGTGACCCAGGAGTAATCACAATAATGTTTTTACCATCTTTACTATTGAGGAAATTGGAAAACATATATTAGACTAACAGTGGTAAGGGCTTTGTTGATGGGAAAAGGTGGCATTATATTTGAACGTTGGCCAGCTCTTGAAATCGAGACCTTTCCAATTAATTGTTCTTTCCATCTTACAAAAATATTCCTCTCTGCATATTTTATCTTGATATTGCTTGTTATGTGGGGCTCATGTTTAGGTTAGCATCTACATTTATTTTCGAGCAGATAATTGTGTCTAGAAGAAAAAGAAACTGTATTATTGGATAACTTAACACATGGGCTCTTTTATTAGGAATTGACGAATTCATAATTAATTGCAAAGTCGGGAATGCTACAAGATCAAAATTAAGAAGAGTGTCAGAGTGGATCGTACACACCAAACGTACTCGTGCGGAAAATCATCAGCAGGTACAAATTTGCCAAGGCAGTGCGATTTCAGTGTGATTTGGATAGGTAGCAATCTACATATCCAATTCTTTCCTTCTGCCCTTACATTCCGCTTAAAGGTTCAAACGACGGATTCTCATTAACATGAGCTTGTTTATAAGATGGTCATAATAATCCTTTGCATGTCACTCCTGTGTTTTCCCTTCATCTTACATCACAATTACACCTGTTATGTTGATGTTAATAAATGAACGACACAATCAAAGCATTCATGGTTTTACTCCATAAGTTCTCTATCGATAGAAGTAGATCATGATTATTTAACTCGTCTTCTTGGATAACTTATAACATTAACATTTTCTTTTAATAATCTATAATATGTAAGTGATAAAACTCCTATATTGACCGCAGGTGATGTCGAAGAATTGGAAAGAAAGAATGAAAAATGATTCGACAGACCTCTTGTCCATCTCAGAACTACTACCTCAGAGCAAACCATGTAATTTGAATATTTATGCATCTATTGGCAAAATTGTGTTAATGGGTTCTCTTGGCCTTGAAATGAAGGGGCAATTATCAGTCATTGAGAAACATTCCTTGAATGGACATAATGATATTGTCAGAGATTTTATTACTACTGGATGCAAGTTATGTGGTTTACCTCTATACCAAAAGTATGCACATGCATGTCATCTTGTCAACATTTCATCAGTTATATGTCCTAAAATCTATATTGCTCTGCTTGTCATGATTTATAAAACTCTCTGCAGAAATCTTCATGGAGGCAGTACTTATCCAATTGATTGCCCAGATAATCCAAAGTATCTCCATGTTGTTGGCCAGATATATAAACCATTCATGGTAAGAGATCTCTAGCACCCAACCTCAAACAGTTTCTTTTGTTGAAAATAGATTAGTAAAAACACATCTTCACGATCTGCAGATCTATGTGCAAGACCAAACTGGACAAGTTCCTGTGGTTGTGAAGAATAAAGTTGCAGAGGCTTTATTTTCTAATATTAGCGCAGATGATGTGTCCGAATGCTACAATAGCCGGCACTGCATGCTGGTAGATACTTGTGAATCTGGCAGCTCAAGCACTTCCGGGATGCTAGATGGCACTGGCAAGATAGGCATTGCTAAAAGGAAGAGAACCAAAAGAAAGCTTGATTTTCATCTTATCTGGCCCATTCTTATGAAATGCCTGCTGAACCAAGGCAAGAATAGTCCATTCTGCTTCCAGATTTCAGTCAACCCCGGGAAAAATGTTGAGGATGGACGATTTGAACTGGTTTCTTTGACAATGCCAATACCATGAGATGGGAATTCTTCTTTTACCACATGTGTCGAACCAAACTAATGGTCATCATGTGCTTCTATCTACAAAAAGGGAGCTTTGCTGTTCTGATGGTTTGCACGGTGACATGGCTAGGATGACTGACCAGTATTCTTCAGTTTTAGCACGATTGTGTCACGCTCGCATCTTCCGTGCCGTGCTCAGAAGCTGCAGGTGACAAAGCAGGCAGGGAAGGTTCTCCGAGGTGGCCCAGCGGGGTTAGTGGTTCGGTGTGCCTGGGGTGTAGTGGCCCTATGGGGGGGCTAGGCTAGGTGGCTATCTATGCGTGGCTGTAACCTGAGACAGGCATCAAATGTGTAGACTCTGAATCTCATCTACTGTTCCCTGTCTCTCATTCTTGTTCTCTGCTTTCCCATCCCCTTCTCCTGCGCGCCAAAACACCTAGCCCCGGATCTCTGCATGTGCGATCTGATCTGAGAAAGAGAGGTTCGTCACAGATGAACTTACCAGAAGCTAGACCTGGCTCATTTATAGGCAATAAAATAGCGACAGAGCCAGTTGTAACAGACACGTTAGGAGCGACGCATTATGGTGGTGATGAAGATCTGATCCGGATCAGCTCTGAGAAACATGTTACTCATACAACAGAAGTAGTTTCGGACAAACATGTTAGTAGTTTTGGTCTTTTGTCAATGTTATTACTCCGCCATCAAAGAAAGCTTGGTTTTATCGGAAGTTTTCGTCGGGAAAAAAAAGAAAGGTTGGTTTTCCCCACTTCAAAAAAAGAAGAAGAGTTTCCCTCAAAAAAGAAAAAGAAAAAAAGAAGCAGCTTGGTTTTGCCTCCCCCCTTCGCAAAGAAGGCCTTGCTGACGATTCCGTGATTGCTTTCGCTAGCCTATGGTCACAATTGTTACCTCAAAATAAAATAAAATTGTTAGCTTAATAGCGAGCCCATACAAGAGGGCGTCCATGATAAGAGATGGAGATGAAGTGTCGAGCCGGACTGCGTGCGGTCAGACAACGAGGACAGCATGCAGTTAAATATACGGAGTATCTCCCAGTGATGTGGCATTGGTTGTCACCTTGTCCATTTACTATAAATAAATATGGTCGATATGCACACTGCATTCGTATTTATCGGATCGGATCGGATCGTGCAAGTTATAAAGTATAAACTCATGTACTACTAGTAGCTTCAACGCTCAAGAAAGCCGGCTCCTTTATCCTTTTAGATCCCAGTCATGGCGATCGTCGTTAGCTCCTTGGCCTCCGGATCCTTGCCATGCAGTCCGGAGGTTTCTGGGCGACGACGGAGCTCACTAGTGTCTGCACCGCCTCGTCGCCGGCAAGCCCTCGCCGGCTTGGCGATCAAGTCGCGGGGCATCAACCGTGTCCAGCCGACGACCAGAGGAGCAACACGGTGAGTGTACTGATGTTCTGATCACCCTGTCTAAGCTTCCTACTAGCTTGTATGTTGATGGCAGTATCTTACAAGATTGTTACATACGTAACATTTGACCTATTTTGTTCAGGATCCCCGCAGCCGCAGCTGGTCCAAGCTCCGGAGACCGAGCAGGAGGAAACTTCCCAGTTCCCAACGTGCCTTCATGGTGAGTACAAAAGTGTTAACATGCACTGTATTTCTGAATCTGCTGTCGATTTCCTTCACACATTGACGAGCTACGAGCTTCTCAGGGTGAAGATGCTCGTCGGTGTCTTCTTTGCCGCAGTACCTCTTTACAGACAGATGAGAGCCCTGGAAGGTAAATACAAATCCACTTGTGGGCTACTACCTTTTCCATTAGCTCCATAACAGAAATAACATAGCATTGGATAGTCACCTCTTAGAGGTCCTTTGTCCTTTTATTTTGCTTTGTACATATACTGTTTTATATTATTATAATGAAAATTACTGTAGAACAATTGTTCTATGGTTTCGGCTTAAAAAAACAGAAATAACATAGTCCCAGAAGATAGAAAAAGAGGCAGAGTGCCAAAACATGATATAGTTACCAGCTACTACCGTCCAGAGCGGCTAATAAGAGCAACACAGCCGAAAAGGATATGCGAATCGGGTACTGATACAGTACCAGGTACTCCACTACCGTACCGTCCAGAGAGGCTAAGGGCCCTAGGCATCGCGCGCCTTCTGCACCACATTCGGCACCCATCAGGATTCCTTTGTGACCCTCATTCTTCAGTCCTATCCAAGTATTAGATCAGGAGGAGCACATAGACAGCACCATTGTCAAAGGTGAGCAAACCACACAATGCTCCAAACATACCTTGTTCCGACAAGTCCAGATCACCTAGCAAAGGGCCGCGATCACCCCAGGAAGGAAAGCCTGAGGCGAGAGTGGACGATCTGCACACAGGGGCATCTGCACCCGCTTTTCAAAAATGTATTTTTTACGTGTTTTGTAATGTTCAAAAATTCTATTAAAAAATATGCATACATGTTGGCAAAGATACGTCCACGGCACAAAATTTTGTGTAAAAATGTATTTTTATTTTGTCTCAGTAAAAAAGACAAATTTTACTATTTCTAAATAGCGTTTCACGGCACAAAATTTTGTCTCTTCTGCATAGGCTACAAAAAAAGTTGTTTTTCTGTGAAACTTTCTGCACACACATGGAATATGGAGATGTCTGCGTGCACCATTTTTCAGAATTTTTTGACATTGCAAAATGTATTTTCCAAAATGGGTTCATATGTACCCGGGTTCATCCATGCACTTCTCAACCTGAGGCTAACTATAAAACTGCCAAAAAGAGTTTTCTTTTAGAAAAGGAGGATGACCCCCGGCCTCTGCATCTAGAAAATGCATACGGTCACTTTATTAATTATTCTCGAGGACCTTACAAAGTATTACAACAATATGCTTAAATCCGTCATCTTGACAACATATGCCACTACTCATATCCATATGATGAAGGGGTGCTAGCTGGGCCAAATACCGAGACCACTCACCTAAGCCTATCATCAAAAGCCAGAAGCCCCAGCCGAGCCACATACCGGGTCTGGGGCATAAACTGGTCTGACACACTCACATGTGTCGTCGCCGCCATCTTTCACAGGTCCGTCTTCAGAGCTGATATTGAGGCTTCTACCTTGTCAGGCCACTCTGCCATCGACGGCACCATGACGCGAGACAACTACCTCCTCCCGCGCGAGTCCATCACCGCGCATCGGGCACTGAGTGTCCACTGCGCCACGCCGCCGAGATCCACCGTCATCAATGTGTAGGATGAATCACCTCCACCAAAAAAGCCGCCCACTGGTCCCTCGATCCCATGTACGCCTCCAAGAATGATGCTCCCAAGGAGGAAACGACATCAACGCGTCGCCGTCATCCGATCTACTGATCTACGGTTTCCCCCGGAGGTAGCGGATAGAGGTCTGGAGTTTCTCCACGACGATGCCTTCAAGAAGGTAATGACACAAAAGAGTGCCGCCAATGCCGGTCTTGGCATCAAGCCGAGAACGAGGTTTTCACCCGGATCTGCCCGAAGAACCTCCATCAAGCATCGTGTGCACGGGTGGCTGTCGATCTGAGCCGCCGCACATCGAGCAGGCCGCATCGGTCAGATCAGATCTGTTCGGAGGGCAAACCAGGCATGGCGCTGACCCAACCACCAGGCCCTCCATGCCGTCAGCGCCGATCCGAGGTCAGATGGTTCGTCGCTGCAGACCCGGCCGCTGCCGCCGAACGCAGCCAAGGCCGCTGCCCGAAGCAGGGCCGGCCGCCGCACCCGCCACCATCGCCACCCTAGGCCGAGGCTGCCGCCGCGCCGCCGCCGGTCAAGGCAGGCCCGCCACGCCATCAAGGCTAGATCGGCCGTGCCACCACACGCCGCGGGGCTCCGCACCGCCCCCATGCTGCAGGAGAGAGGGAAGGCCCCCGCCACCGCCGTCAGCCCCCAGGCTATAGGCCGGCGGCGGCGGAGGGAGGGATGGAAGGACGGGGAGCCCCCGGCGGCTAGGGTTGCAATCCCGCCCGAGTCGCCCGAGCGGGGGCGACGCGGGGGGAGCGGGTTGAAACCAGACAGCACGCACCAGCCAACGCCCGCCCTTATCATTCTGATTCTGGTCCCATATTAGTGCTCAAGAGTGATCTGATCCCACAACCCTTTCTCACAATGATCACAAAAGCACAAAAGGGAGACCCTAGCCATTTCCTCTTTATAAATTGTTTTTTCGCGAGGACAAAATTTAGACACAATTGCATAGAAATGTTAGAATTTTAAGAGGAATTTTATTCATTTGGAGATACAAGCCAGCATTGTCCTCGCAAACTCATGAAAAGCTTGTCACACAGTAAAAATCGTTAAAAATGATTTTTTTCTAACATCAGTACATGTTTATGCCTTTTATGTGCATGAAAATTTTCATGATGAAATGACACATTTTACTTGGAAGAAAAAAATACAGTAACATTGCTCTGAAAATAATACTCCCAAATTATGTCGATCTTAGCGTGCATCTTGATTTTAACTTCACTCCATGTGTGTAAATCACATACAATAGATAAGGTTGAGCAGACGGCAGAAGTAGCAATTGAGGTGGTCGAAAAAGTGGCTGAGGCAGCTGAGAAAATTGCTGACGATGTCTCTGAAGCATTTCCCGGTAATGATAACGTAAAAAAGGCAGCATCCAGGATCGAGGCCATTGCAGATGAAATTGAGAAGGACGCGGAGAAAGCCGGGGCCCTAATCGAGAAGGTTAGGTTAACTTCCTACTGATTTATTACTCCCCGGTTTTAAGCTCAATGGCATTTTTAATTAGAAAAAGATCAATGGTATTTTTTAAAGGGAAAATCTTAATGCACTACATGGCAACTAATCTCTATTTGGTTCGAGGAAATTAATTAAAATGTGTGGTGCTTACTATGTCAAGATATTTGACCTTTTATGTGTGGAATTACTAACCTTTTTCCCTTTTTTTGGAAGGACTAACCTTTTTTCCCTGGTTCAACGCAGGTCGATGAGATAGAGAAAGAGATGGATTCCGTAGTGGATTC